TTTTTTTTTTTTTTTTTATGAAATAGAGATGTTCTATTAATTAAAAAGAGACTACATATTAATCATTATATAAAGTCACCTAAAGTCAAGTTGAATTCATAATCTATATCATTAAATATAGATAAAAACTATACCCATAATAAATAAGAACAAATAAATAAGAACAATTAAGTGTATAGAGCCACTTATACTAAGTAATTACTTTGACAATTGCTATACTGACATGTATAGTACTACAAAAGTGATAAGAAAACCCTGGTGCGTGTTCGAATTGCTAGACTTTCTCAACTGCCATGTCAAGTTTCGGGCAGAGTAGCTAATTTGGCAACCAACAATCCCTACCCATTGAAGTAATGCCAACAATGATTTGCATGAAATTGTTCAAATACCCTTAATGAATATTTTTTGTATATTGATTTATTAAGGGTATTTAGTCTTTTCATTACCAATTTTAATATTTTAATTATCAAAATGTCTTAATTTTCCTCAATCCATATATATATATATATATATGTGTGTGTGTGTATATACATATCATGTTTGGTAGACTTTCTTAGAGGAGAGTAGGAGTCTCCTTTAGGGACCATCTAAGTTATGCTCAAATTAATTATCCCAAAGGCGAGTCATTATCGCACTGTTGTCCTCTTCAACTTGGAGTAAAACCTAGTGAAAACTACTAAGAGACCCCACAAAAAGTGAGAAACTCCCACAAAGGGAGGGAACCCCCAAAGAGTGACAAACTCTCACTTTTAATCTTCCTTAGCCATCGAAGAGGAGGGAGGCGGCAGCTAGGGAGAAAAGTAGAAGAGAGGAAGGCGACGGTTATGGTGAAAAGAAAAGAAAGACGCTAGGGTTTAGAGTTGTCATTTTAATTCAATGATTTTAATTCTATACCTTTATGTTTGTTTTGATAAAGATTTTGTGGAATTCATTTGAAATCTATATATAGTGTACATGTTTGGTTTTTTCTTTTTTCTTTTTAAATCATAGAATTCAATTGTAAAATTACAAATCATTGAATTGATTTAAGCTAAACCAAATTTTGTAAAATTTGATGGGATTTGCAAATGAATTCCATATTGAATTATTTTTAGTAAATGAAATAAATTCTATTTTTCATTCAAACCAAACACACTAAAAAATTTTAGAACCTGAGAATTTATTTTCTAATTGAATTCTTAAAGGAATTCATTTAGACATGAAATGATTCTAAAAATCATTTGTATACCAAACACTCCCATGACTATTTATCCAGCATAGCTATCGTCAACTTCCCAAATGAACACCAAAATCACGGTTCAGCTTCGCCGGTCTGGCTTCTTCGTCCACCGTTGGTAATAAGCTAATAGCAGAGGGAATTCATCGAGAGGGATCCTGAAACACAGCAGGATCGGCTGAAACCCTTAGAATAAATGCAAATTTATGCAAGTTTTTTCTCTCTGGCAAATTAAATAGTGAAAAACGTTTCATTTGTATTAATTTTTTTATATGCAATGATTAAATTAAAGGGTTTCATTATGGCTTTAAAAAATCTCAATATGTTAATGAATCTTCTATTTTACAATCTAAATTACAAAATAATTACATTTATTGAATAGTAAGTGCTATACAATTCACAATCCACTATCATTTGACTGCAGGACACTTTATTGCATGTTAATTAACCACTGAAGGAAGTTCTTCGTGTCATGAACGGAGTGATTCCACTCTGTCCCTAAGTGAGAACACTACTGAAAGATTAAAAGTTCAACTCTGAGCTTCGTATTCCTCCACCCCCCTTAAATATCAAATGTTGTAATAGACAATTGCATTTGTTAAAAAAAAAAAAAAAAAAACCCACTTTAAGAAGACATCATTAGCATTGCTACATGCCTAAATGGTATTAAACAGGTACTATATACCATATGGGTTCATGCACCATCATAATGCTTGACATAAAAAAAAGGGGGGAAAAATGGAAAAAGCTTACATAAACATATGGTAAGTTTGCCGACCCACGTTAGAGTCAACTATAAGTCCGTACAATTGGTCATAGAGTGCATAGAAATGACTTACGAGATACAATAATAGTTTCAAAAAGAAAACCATTGAAAGGTAATTGATCATGGAACAAAGTCAACCCAAGGATAAGAGGATGCACTCATGCTCATTACAGCTTTCACACGGGAAGGATAAGAACCTATGAAAATACCGAGTTTCATCCCTTCTTGCTTTTGTTATCAAAATCAAGCAGGTCCTCTAGCAGTTTATCATCCAAATACTCGATCTCGAGAACTTCTTTTCCTGGGTCTTTCGAAGAAAATGAAGCTGCCATTGACGAAGATGAAGAAGACGAAGTTGATGAACCCAGAGGAGGAGAAGTGGCATCGGATGACACATGTTCATGGGCGAAGTTGAGAACGGCTAAGGGACCCCTCATTGCAAAGGCGGCTCTGTCATAAGCTCGTGCAGCCTCTTCTGCCGTGTTGAAAGTTCCCAGCCATACACGAGCTCCACGCCTGTTTGAGTCTCGAATCTCTGCCGCAAATTTCCCCCACGGCCGCCTCCTCACCCCTCTGTATCGAACACTTGGTCCCCCTTCTCCGCTGCCCTTCTTATTTTCTTCTTCCATGGTCTTTTTGAAGAGGACCGCGAGACTTCCACCTTCATGACTTTGGAATTTATAAAGGGCGGAAAGAGGAAAAAAAACATCCAATTAGAGACTTTGTCATAAATTTTGTCATAATTTTCAAAGTGTTTTGGTGACAGCATTTGATGGAGATAGATTTCGGTACAGACATTATGGCTGATCAAGGTGATGATGGACTAAATTAAAGGCATAAATTAACATTCTTTTCATTTTCAATCCATTGCTATTGAGAGTGGATCTCATAGGTGGGCGTTAACTTTGTTAATTAGATTCATTGTTAATTGACTGCCAAATGAATAGACTGCGAAATGAATAAGATAGTAAAGCTCTTACCTTTTCTGGATACACTCGTGTTAAAATAATCCCCCATTTTGGCACAAGCCTAAATGAGGAGGTTATTGATGACGTAATCACAATTATGTTGTCTAATTCTACCATCAATAATGCATCACTAATTAACTATTATTTCATTAATTTAACCCAGAAAAAATAAGATAAAGAGCAGATTGAGGTTAGATTCCCATATGAGAAGGATTTGGGAATCAAACATGTGATTAGTTATTCAAAGGTCAGATCATAATGGCTTACCTCTATTCCCCAATTTATTTGATAAACAATGTCTTAATACTGAAGTTGTTCGTGGTGTCATCCGGGTTACGTAGGCAAGCTTGATCATCACTGTTACACCACCCTTCCTTGTGTCACCACTGCCGAAATGAAACAGTAAAATGGTATCAGAGAAGCAGCATGATTGCAGTTCAAGACATGGCTGCTTAAAGCAGCATTATCAATTGTTTAACAGGAATCCAAAAGGATGGGGATTTGGTGGTAGGGTCCTGTGATCATGTAATAATGAAAAAGAATGAAAGAAGAAGATAACATGTTGAGTTCTTGTAGAGATTATCAGATTAGGAAAAAAGTAAGGTAATGAGTGAAGGTTGTTCTAATGACTGTTTTTCTCAATCTTTATGCATTTTGATCTCCAGAGGAGAAAACCTGAAAAAGAGCATGCAGACAAGGGCAGATGAAAAACAGAGATTCTGCTTCACATAAACACACAAGACAAAAAATATTATCAACATCCACACGAAAGTTAAAAGAGAATGGAAAATAATTTGTGGAGAAAAAACAGCTAAATTGTAATGATATTAACAGTTACTCTCAATAAATGGCTTCATTCAGATGCTAAATTTCAACCCAGTTGCTGACATAGCTATGTGTTGAATAGTGAACAATGAGGAAACAGCCTGTTCAAAGTGAGAAATAAAGATGTCCATAGAAATGACATAGCTGCTCTACAGTCTGTAAAAGACATGGTTAATAGGTCTAAATATTCAATCACTGTGAAGAAATTGAGTTGTGTTCCAGATTTTTTGTTTTCTTGATAATCTATCAACGCATGAGGATGAAGGGATTTCAACCAGACACCTCTAGAAATTAGACCAGACGTTAGAGAATTGTCCTGATAAATAGATAAAAGTATGTTCTTCACTTCAGTGACAGAGTTTAATTGTACACTCTCAAAAGAGGAAGGCATCTTTGAGTTGATATACCATGCTTCTGCTAAGATAACACACAAGCATAACATAAAGACACAAAAATCAAGGAGAGCTTGTAAAAATCCTACTGATAGCTTGCTTTGCTGGATAATGTACATGAAAGCATAACTGTTTCTTGTAGATATGAAAATTTCTCAAGCCCAAGATTTGCTGAAAACTACCAAATGAAAAAGTAAAATTAGAAAAATAAAAAAACAGAGAAAAATGTAAAAGTAAGAGCATGTACCTCATTTACACCAAATTTCAATCAGCAAGTGATGCTGTGCTTCCCATAAATTCTCCATCATATGAAGCTCTACTATGCATATGAAGAGAAACGAGAAGAATAAGAAATACATAGTACAACCCTTCAGCTTAATATGTTAAAAAGATCTTTCACCAGAGTTTCACAAACTCTTGCTCCCATATCCTGTCAAAATGTTTGTTCTTTAATCCATTTTCACATCCCATAAGGAGGTAGATAGAGAGAGCAAAGTCATTTTCGCATCATCACATGAAAGACAGGAAAATATATATTGACGTAACAAGAACCTTATAACAGTCTCTCAACAAAGCCAGCATAAATATAAGTGTATGAGGTCCCTGGCCAGATGCCATTGGATGGCCTATATAAATTCTACCAATGTGCTGAATTCATGTGGTACATATTCAGGTATAAACCAACAGCAAGGACATTAAAGACAAGTGGAGCCCAGGTTGGAATCTGTTAAAAGTTACAAAAGATAATTCAAGATTTACCCATCAAATAAGCTGAAAGAATCTCTGACAAGTTATCATAGTTGTTTCCTTTTCTTGTCCAAGTAAAAATGGTTCTGTTGAAAGTTCAGAATGGCCCATAGAAAATGTCGAAAACCAATCTCCGGCCAGAGCACTGAAGGAGAATACAAATAACAGTAAGCACTCTGCCATAAAAGAAAATTGCTCAAGCGTGTTTCACCAGAAGTACGTATTATGATATCAGGATCAGGTGCAACTGCCATGTACATATGCTTCTCAATGTCCACAAGTTTTACCAGGTAGTCCCTCTCGCCCTCTTCATTCTCTCCAAGTCTAATTAAACCATAACCATCTTTACTTGAATACATTTCTGTAACCTCATCCAATTTTTCTTCACATGCCTCCTGGACAGCATGCACAATCTCATTTTTGGAAGTGTAAGCAATACAGACCAACAAAACTGCTTTGGAATTCTTGGCAGTGGCAAGCATAGCCCTGTCAGCTGCCAATCTAACAGGTTCACTCAAGAGTTGGAGGTTCCCTATAAAGTAGACTCTAACACCATAGCTATTGACAATGCTCTCTTCCTTAATTAACCCTTCAATCTTCTCTTGTAACAAATCCATCAGAGATTGGACCTCTTCAGAACTTCGTTTAAAGTTATCAATGCTGAAGGCATAAATGGTTACATATCTCACACCCAACTCATAGCAATACCGGAGCATGGACATAAGGGCTGAGTATCCAGCGCTATGGCCAGCTCCTTCCTTCAAATTCTGCTTCTTACCATATCTCCGATTCCCATCCATGATGAATGCAATGTGATTCGGTACAGGACCAATAGAAAGGATTCTAAAAATAAATTTCCGCAAGAAACTAACAAAGTTACTAAAGATCTGACAAACTCTACCATTGTCTCTCTCCATCCCAATCCTTGTTTAGTTGTTAAATCTGTAAGACCAAGACAACCTGAAATAAGACAAAATACATTAAATAACAAATTCATACCTAGTCAAAATCAGAAATGACATTCTGAATACCTAGTTGTGTATAAAAAGCTAATAGATGAACTGCTTGAATTCATTCTAGCAGTTTAGTATCATTGTCTCCATTAATTATTCCAATCAATACCACACAACCCATCATTCTGATAGGGAAAATGAGTTCATTCCCATGAATGAGTATCTGAATTTGGCAAAGACCATTGCATAAAGCAATCAACCACCAGAATCAACATGTGTTTAAGCATCAAAATCCAACGCCTTTTCTCTCAGGAACTAAACAAAAGAGGCATTTGTTTTGATCTATTGAAAACAGCTATTGGTTGTTGGTTTTAATCAAACGGGTTAAATATTTTGAATTATAAATATCAACAATTATCAGTTATTAGATATCAACTGCCCAAAAGACTGCAAGAAGAATCAATTGATAACCAATCTAAAATCAGTTCAGAACCCAAAACTGGAAAAGGGCATTCTCTGAATCAAATCAAAATCCCAATACAAACTAAGCATAATCGAAAACCTAACCTAAAGTATGAAAATAGTAAAAACACCAAACTTTACACCAACGCTGAATGGAAATAGCAAAATATAAAAACCCAAACTTGTGAACCCGTTTACTACTCACCGAAGAAAGAGTAAAAATCAAAGCTTCAATATCGAGAAATTTAAGAGAACAGAAAAAAACCTCAAACACCCATCAAAATCAACAATTTTTTTCAATTCTATTTTCCTCTGAAACAAATGGGGATTACCTGAGGATTCTCGATCGATGGAAAGACTTCCGATTTCTTGCTCTAAGTCTCTTAACTGTCGAGCTGGAGGAGGCAGATCCTTTTTTTTTCCCCCCCTTTTATTAACTTGAGTGAAGCTTGGAATTCTATGAAACAATCTGAAAAACAAGCATAAAAAAAAAAAAAAAAAAAAAAATGCTATCTTCGTGATGACGTCCGTGCTGCCGCAAAACTTGGCGGTGTAAATGGGGCCGCAGGTTTGAACGGTCCAGATGAGTCCTTGCTTAAGGACTTAACCCCCGATTGTAAATGACATAAAATTCAGTTTTTTATGGGATGTTCTGTGGGAAATACTCGGGTTTGGTTTTTTTTTATTTTTTTTATTTTAAGATTATTTTGGAGGTTTTAAATTTAAGTTTAAATGTCAAATTTAGTTTTTGAGTTTTTAATTTTGAATGTTTTTAGCCTTTAGACTATTTTTTGTAATTTTTTAATTTTTAAATTATAAAAAAATTATTTTTTTTCATCTAATTTGTTAATTCTATCAAATATATATATTTTAATTTTTAACTTATAATATATGTACATTTTTAATTCATGAATAAATTCAAATATTAACAATGTGTATATATAAATAGATTTAATGAATAATTAATGAAAAGAAAATAAAAAATATATATTTTATGATTTAAGACTAAAAAATCATAAAAAATAATTTAAAAATTAAAAATATTAAAAAATAAAAGTTTAAGTCCTAAATTTAAAGTTTAACTTAAATTTTAAATATTTAATTATGTAGGGGAGACGGAGAAGCTTAGAAAAAGGATAATTATTCCGCATCGTCATCGTCTGAATTTTAAAAGTTAAAATGGGATCCAAATTACCTCTTAAAGCTCCAACTAGAATGGAATGGAAGAACCCAGGTTTTTATTTAGATAAATAAGTGTTATCATATAAATTGAGTATAAGTTAAATATAAAGTTTAAACGGTGGTAGCACATTTAAAAATTAATTTTTTTAAAAGTAATTATTTTAAAAAATTAATTTTAAAATATAAAAAAATTACCTTAAAGATTCTTTAACAGTAAAATATAAAGTTTAAATGGTGGTAGTACATTTAAAAATTAATTTTTTTAAAAGTAATTATTTTAAAAAATTAATTTTAAAATATAAAAAAATTACCTTAAAGATTCTTTAACAGTAAATATTAACAAAAAAAGAGAGAGGGAATGATAGTCAATATTGATGAAGTTACAATTTATATATCTTTAATTATACACATGGACTAATTAGCACGATTTATTGATTAGGGGAAAGATTCGAAGTTGAAATATCAAATTTTAGATCTCCTTCGGTATAAAGCTAAACCAAGAATTCATTGCAGAACTGAAAGTAGTGTTTGTTGAATGGTTAATTAGTTAAGCATCAAAAAGAGGCTTGACTTCTGTCCATTATCCATGCTTGAAGACTTGAATTGAAGCCCATAAAGATCCCTTTTGATGCAAAATGGCCATGAGTTAAGTCACAATTTATAAAGGGTATTTACAAACTAATTTGTTTTTATCCTAATTTCATAATTAAATTATAAAAGAAATTTTTTAGTTTATTTCAATGAATTTTTTTGTTTACAAAGTCTTCCAAACTCTTATCAAGGAGAGAAAGTAACTCAAATTAAGCCTGTAATTGGCAAATTAGAATCACATCATCTACAAGCAATATAGAAATCCATGATTATGACTCACAATTGATGGTTCAACAAAACTAACTCGAATATCATTACATATCATCATTACAAAGGTTAATTTTACTCTTGAATTGCACCAGAATCGGATAAATTAAGATTTGAAATCCTGAAAAATTTTTATGATGATGTATAATCTGAACCAAGGAAGAGTTGGTCGTCAAAAGAGAAAAGATATGAATTAAAAATGAATGTCAATGAATTTTTAATTCTTCGAATCCTTTGATGCTTTGTTGGGTAATTGCCAATGTTGGTGCAGGTAATACCAGCAAAGAATAAAAATTAAAAATGTGTTTTTTAATATCAATTACAAAAGAATAAATGTTTATTTTGAAATTCAAACTTACTAAAATGCATTTAATTAATCTCTTTTTCCATGTTAATTCATTAAATATTCTGGTAACTGGGTTGAATTCATTGTTAAGCAAATATCATCTTATAGGTTTGATTCAACATTCAAACTTTGGGTCAACAAATTAACTCTCATGAATGCATTAAGTTAGAGGTCCACCCTTACACTTTGTTTGGATTGAGAAAGTTTGAGAGGAAAGAGAAGAGAGTGGGGGTGAAAGTCCCTCTTTTTGTTTGGATAAAAAATTTTAATGGAGGAGAGGGTGATCAAGGAAATGGAGCCTTCTCCCTTCTTCCATTTTCAATCCCTTTGATTTGGAAGGATTAGAATGAATTATATTACTTAACTTATTTTTGTTTTAAATTTTTTATAAAATAAATAAATATAAATATTTTATTTCAACTATTTATTTAATTAATAAATTTTAAAATTTTATTTTTTATTTTATTTTTTATTAAATTATTTAATTAAATAAAAATATTATCATTTCTTCTCCTTTTCTTTCATCTATCCAAACAAACTTAATACCAACCATTTCTTTCCCTTCACTTCTCCTCCCTTTTCTTTCCCACCCTTCTCCTTTCTTTCATTTACTAATTTATATCCAAACATAGGCTTAAAGATTATTCGGAAAGGAATCAATCTTGACAATACACGAAAGCTAATCTGGGAACATTCTGAGTATAAATACCAAAAATTAAGGGTGCTCTAAGATTTTCAATGTTTAGATTATACTTTTATTATGCAATTTGAACTAATATATAAGATACTCATGAAAAAATTGCCTCTAAAGATTTAAAAATGATATAATTATAATATCATATGATATTATAAATTTGCAAATTCATATTTTTTTTATAGAATTGATTTCATTAAATTAAATTCTTTTATAGTACTCTCTTTATTCCAAAATAATTGTAGTTTTTTTTGCTTTAAATTCATCTCAAATTAATTGTTGTTTTTTCATTTTTTAAAGTAGACAATTTTTTTTCTAATTTAACTATATCATTATTTATTCACTTTAATTAATTATCTAATTACAAAATATTTTTTATCTTTTATTTTTTAAAATTTATTATAAATTAATACAAATATTATTCTCAAATCTTTAATTTAAAAAAATTAAAAAACAATAATTATTTTGAAACAATATAAATAATTATATAATATTATAGTCATGTAATATCATGAGTTAATATTTGCCCACTATATTAAATTCACTTATCATGATGTTGAATAGTGCATTAGGAAGATAATAAAAAAAAATAGTGTACTAGGGGATATTAAAAAAATAGTGCATTAGGGAATTAGGATAGAAAATGGGACCTCTCTAAAACAAGAAAGAAATTACCTTTTTCTGCCAACCGCATAGATAAGAAATAACCAATTATGACAGGTACTATCCCTAGAAAGTACATCTTTTTTATTTAAGAAAGGATTTGAAGTTTAAGACACATTACGAATTCTATAATTATTGATGGAATGACCATTTAATAGAGGAGAGCTTACTTTGTTTTAATGGTTATAAGATTTATCATTTTCTTTTTCTTTTTTTTCTTTTTTTTTTTTTGTTTAGAATTGACATTTATAATACTTGTAATTGTCATAAATACTTAAAAGAACCCTCTCAATACCATCCCTAGCAAGTCTTATTACATTGCGAAGCTGAAAAAAAAAAATTTTTAACACCTATGATACTTGTAAACGTGACATATACTTTAAAAAACCATCTCAATACCATCCCTAGTAATTCTTATTACATTGTGAAACTGAAATAAGAGTGACACTTATAATCCTTGTAATTGTCACATATACTTACCATCCCCTAGCAAGTCTTATTACATTAAAAAGAATTGACACCTATAACACTTGTAATTGTCACATATATACTTAAAGGGCAATGATTGGTATATCTTTTAGTTTATCACACCGAATAATACACACTGGTTTAATCATTAAGAAACTAATATTTTTAAGTTTGGATTCAACGCGGAATAATTTTCAAGAGCAAATTTTAATGACTAAACCAATGAACGTTGTTAGGTGTATTGAATCAGAAGGCATACCAATTATTTTTTATACTTAAAAGAAACCTCTCAAAACCATCAATAGCAAGTCTTATTACATTGCAAAACTTAAAATCATACAAGAAGCTCTAGAAAATATAGTATTGCATCCATTGATGGAGAGTAGAACCATCCCAATATCAAGCACCTACCCCTCTTCAATGGTCACCTTTTTGTTTTAAAATTGGCACCTATAACACTTGTTATTGTCACATACACTTAAAAAAACCCTCTCAACTCTCAATACCATCCCTAGTTAGCAAGTCTTATTACATTGTGGAACTAAAATCATACAAGAAGCTTTAGAAAATATATAGTGGCAGATCAAAACAAATGGAAGTACTTTTCATAAATATTGCATATGAACTCTGGTTGGATTAAGTGTAAGGGCTCAAAACTTCAAATATTCCTCTACAGCTTCTTTATCGGCTGCCTTAGATAGGTAGACAGTCAAGAAGTCTGAGAATTTGCAGCCCTTGTAGAGTGGAGGATTCTGTTGATTGGCTAGAATTTTGGCTGGAATTATCAGGCATTCACTGGAAGGATAAACAAAGTATGAAATAGTTGTCCTTGCATCTTCTGTATTTGTCACCACTCGATGCTCCGCGCCTTTAAGCTTGCCGTTGCTGATGATCTGCAAGGGGAAAAATACCATGTTGATCAATTAAGGGGAAACAGAAACCAAACGTTAGAAAATTTCACCCTAGAAATGTCTACATATATGAACCTGTAACAAGTAGCCTATGTTAACAACAAATGCATGAGGAAGAGGCTGAACACCAATCCACTGGTCATCCTTTAGAACCTGAAGCCCTTGTATGTGGCCTTGGAGAACCAGGGTGATGATTGAAGGGTCCTGGTGCTTGGATAATCCTAGGGTGAGGCTGGGGTCAGGGCATGGTGGATAATGATTAACTAAGATTTTTGGATTTTCACTAAGAGCACTGCTAAAATACCCAGTTTCAAGCCCTAATCCTTCACAAATCATCTCCAAAATCCTTGAACTCAACTTTCTTAATTCAATTGAATAAGCCCCAATAACCTCCCTGCAAAGAATATTAGGAATTAATTGGAACAAAGTAGGAAAACTTCAGGGCATGAAAAACCTGTATGATTCCAGGACTACCATTACCGGTATCTAATTGGCTTTTGAGGCCAAAACTTCAAGCATTCTTCTAAAGGATGACAAGGGTGTGCCACTGCATCCCTCCAGTAATGAAAATTCTCTGCCAGGTAGCCTAGGCTGCTAGTGTAGAGCTTGCAGCTTCCATCGGGATCCTTAGAACATTCCATTTCCTTATCCATGGCAGACATTGCATGGAACTCTTGTATAACATCCATGGTGTCATCCATCAATGTTTCGGAAACTCCATGGTTTATAACCTATTCCAGACATGAGAGCACAACTGTATATGTTAGGCCTAATTCTTACAAGAAATTAAAATAATCGGAACATGATACAGTATAACTAAACCTGGAAAAATCCATATTCTTCACTAGCTTTCAGGATTGCCTGAATGATTTGGATTTGATCACGGTCGCCGGCTAGATCAATGGCAGGAATGGATTTCCCTAGAGGAACAATTAGGTTCCCGGGTCTTGCCTCTGGTGGGTGCACATAACTTGCAGGTATGACTCCATTGTTGCACAAGCTTGAAACAAGTTCCATCTCTTTAATTCAATTAATGCAAGTGGAACTAATGGAGGTGTTTGGGGATTATTATATGGTGAATATTAATTATAGGGCATTAAAATATTTTTTAGGAGTTGACTATACAAAATTAATCAATTCCTTTTATGGTTAGCCATATGCACATGCATCAGCCAATTTTTTAAAATACAGCAAGGACATTAATGATTTCAAGATGATAATATTTAAATCAGCCAGTTGATAGAATTTCTTTTAGTTAATTTTTAATTAAAGTAATGCAATACCCCATTGAATATTGTAAAAAAATAATAATAAAGCTATACATAGTACAAGTTTTCCCCATATTTTTAAAAGAGAAGTTCTACTCAAGTATCAAAGAATGGGCACTAATATAGATATTATTCTATTTAATATATCTATTAAAAAATTATTATTTTTAAATTTAAATTAAAAAAAAAAAACCTTAAACTTAAAAATTTTAATATCAAAACAAGTAGGTATTGATAAATATATTAAACTAAATAATATATCAATATTTTTTTCATCAAGAATTTGCCAAACATAGTTATTTAAAAGTACATTTTAGTAATAAATCCATGTTATAGTGATTGTAACTTTTTTACTATTCAAAATTTAAAACTAACATATTCAATTTAAAATTTCGAGTTATTATTGATTAAAGAGATTTGTGAGGTTTATCCATTTTCAAAGTTATTAATTTTTTATCTTTCATAAGTGATTAGTGTAATCTATGTTGTTATTCTAAATTTTTTTTGAAAAGACTTATTTAAAAATTTATCTTATAATTAATATTTTTAAAAATTAATTATTAAATTTAATATCTTATTTATGTAAATCATACATGTTAATTTTTAAATTATTTTAACATTTATAATTATTTAACCAAATAAACTTTATTTATTAATATATATTTAACAATATTAAAATTTATGTAATTAATAAACTAATTAAATTTATTAGATCAATTTACCAATTAATTTTTAAAAATATTAAATAAGATATAATATTTTTAAATTGTCCTCCATGTAGAATATATACAAAACACTCTTCCCTTCATAATTCAAAACTTTTTTAATGTTATGCTCATCTATCACTTCATTTCCTACTTCTAATAAAAGTTCTGACTAAGCCAAATGGATTTATAGTTTATGGCCAGATCCATTATTTAAAACCAAAAGCCTGAAGATGAGCACAAAGAAGAAAGAAAGGGAAAAAAAAATGGGGTTTTGAGGAATTGACCTTTTTGCCTTTTGAATGTTATATTTTAGGTTTTAAAATAGAAAAGTTTGAGTTTTCTTACTTCACGCCATAAAATTAGGCTATGTTGAGCAACATATATATTGCTAATATTAAAATCAAACAAACTTTTTCCTATTGATGAATTAATTACATGATGCCTTCAAATTCAATTAATTGCTAACAACTGTATAATTAAAAAACGAGGATGATTGGAACAAGTAACTGAATCCTTCATCTTCATCTAGAAAATGAACGTTAATGGAATGAACCATAATTAGAAGAAGGAGAAGAATTCCATTCATCAAAACCATAGAAAGAAAACAAAAAATTTTTAAGGGGTCCAGGTCTAGCATTTGGGTTACAACGACTAGTAGTGAATAAAATTTCTAGGCTTTCACCTCACAACTAATTAAAAGTATAGGTTGAGACTATTGAGTGGCTTTTAGATTGAGAATAATTGGTGCCCTTCATGCAATTAGCCGATTGTGAAATTTGAAGTTCATTACTAATGATTTAATCTAACTGTAAGTTTATATGATAAAATAGATAATATCTCATGATAAGGCATAATATAAATCATAAGATCAACAATTAACAACAAGAAAGGAGTCCATGTTGCATGACCTCATTCCATGAACATTGATATATCATGCAAGTTATAAATGTCCATTCGGCCGGGGTTTCCATCTTTACCTAAGCAACCTCGGATTCCGTCCTCTTCCTCTCGAAAACCCAAGCTATCTCAACTCCCCTTGCCTCCTGCAGACCCCACATTTCCTGTGTTAACCGTTGCTGTCTTAAGCATTATGTGCACAGCCGCACAGCTTGCTTGTTCTTTAGCTCCAATACGTTCCTCAGTAGATTCCGGCTGAACCTATTAAGATGTATATCTTTGCTGTGAGCCAGAGATGATGAAGATCCTTTCACAGCCCTTCGCAGACAATGTGGAGCAGGGGACTGGATGATTCAATCCTTCGAGAAATCCCAAGTTTCCAATTCAAGACAGAGAAGGAGAAGGCGGAAGTATTGATGGTTGTGTTGTTTGTCTGGATGAGTTCCAGGAACAGAACATGCTAGGGTTCTTCCTAATTGCAGCCATGCATTATTCCACTTGGATTGCATTGATATGTGGCATCAGAGCAATTTTCCCCTCTTTGAGGAACAAGCACTTCCGGTTCCACAAAGGTTTCCCATTGATCTTGTCGCATCCGAGTTCTTCCCCTCAGACTCGCAGCCACTCACCAATGGTACTCTCATTGGAGAGATGATGATAGTGTGGTGATAGAATAGGGAGGGTATAAACGAGGAATTTCTTTACGAAAGGCAGAAAGAAAGAGAGTTGAAGAGAAGTATTGCCACGGGATCCAGAAAACGGCAACTTGTTTCAATCAAGGGGAAGAGTGCATTGATGTAATTAAGACAGAAAGACTGTAAGTCCTCAATGCAACCTATCAGGAGATCTTTCTCTTTAGATTCACTCTCAGACTTGGGATTGTAGTAATAGAGTAAGAAGAAAGGGCATTCAGCTCTAAAGGTTTGATCCACTGATAAGCAAGTAAGTGTTCCTTTTAAACCAAATTTAAAATTTAAGTTTTTGGATTAACACTCAAGAAATTTAATTTCCTTTAGTAATAGAGTAAGAAGAAAGACCATTCAATTTTAAAGGTTTGATTTACTAATAAACAAGTGCCATCTTTTCTACTAAATTTAGAATTTAAGTTTTGGGACTAACAGTGAAGAAATTTAATTTCCTTAAGTGCATTAAATTGATATAGTGTGTATTCTTAAAATCGTTCAAAAAT